GATTCGGGCTCTTGGGAGTTGAGACAAAACAAATTTGGTCTGTGAGGAAACTTTCAAAAGTGTATGCGTACTTCAAAGTTGGGGGTCTTTTATTTTCATAATTGGGTCAAACATATAAAGTAACAAAAGTGTCATCAAGTGAATTCTTTCGAGCCCTCTCCAGTCATTGCCCAACACCTATGACTTCTAACTTACACCTGTAACACAAAAAAGTCCCGTGTGATGGATGTTTTTAGGTGATGATTTTCACCCCCTGTCGTAAACGTTACAAATCTAGGCGTGCTGTCCTGTACTGTCCGAGCGCCACATTAATGGTCAGTTAGATAATAGAGCTGTCTGCACCACTCTTGAGGGACAAGAGTCTGTGAGTGATGTATGTGTATGGTCTAGTGCTTGTCGCCGGCGGAGGGTTAGAAATCACCCTTTCAACCTCCGATACACATCCCCCTTAAATCGTTTTATTACATAGAGTTACTCCTTTTTTTTTTTCGAATGATTAATTTTGAGATGCCTCGCGTCCCAATCGATCGCTAATATTTTTTTTCTAATTTGTGCTAACGATGATATGATAAACCTGCTTTAGAAATTAAGAATATACTGTAGCTAGCATTCTTAGTGAATGTGATCTATCATCAATAACTATATTAGAGACCAACCAGACAAGGTTTCCTATTTGAAAGTAATTGTTGACAAATTAAATACAGTGATGGACGGGGTGATTAAACGACGTAGATAGCAGACCTTAATTATTTGTTCTTTTCAGGTGAAGTTTTGTTCTGAAGGGCATAACAGATATACTCAGTATGTATATATATATAGACAAAGTATTCATGCTATACATGTAGTATCAATATGTAGGAGTGGAGTGTGTCCTAATCCTTTGACCTTGATCCGTCCTTGAAGAGTTATCCCCCTTTGCTCTTAATCAAAATTCTTTTTTTTTTCTTTTTAAATCTACATGCATCCTGTGAAAAATTATTTTTAAATTTAACGTTTTTCTATTCTTAATATTTATATATAGTTACATATTTCCACCATAGCATATTTTGATATTCATAGTATTTAAATTTTTATTTTCAAATTTGTGCTTGTTTCCATAGACCCTCAAAGCATTCTTCATTAATTAATAACTGCTCGGGTAATTATATTTTTGAAAGTTTCTCCTGGTAAATCCTTTTTCTACTCTAAACTGCTTTGGAATTTGTTTAAAATAGGATAGATATTTAAGGTTAGAAAGTTATGTCCTAATATGGGTCGGATACCTATTTATTTTTTTTCAAATGCAACTCTGACGTAGCAATGACGTGGATTTGGGTTTGACCAATCAGCGCCTTGCCAATAATGCTGACGCAGGCATGGACAGGTGCTTGAACAGAGACGCAAGTCGTAAAGTGAGGCAGATGGTCAGCAACACATGGTGCATTCATGTATAGGTTATTTTGTAAGTAATATGCAACGCCAATGAGAGTAAGGTATAAGCTAGGTGTGAGATAAGTCATCAAAGTTTGAGATAAATGATTCTAATCTCGGGATCAGATAGAAGCAGACGTTGATTATTCCACACAATTTATACACGAGGTTTCACTAACCTTGCGTTTAACGAAGCATTAAAGTATCCTGCCAGAGTAAATGATGCGTAACTGATTCCAGACTTTGAAGTTTGGAAAAAGAGATTATCTATGTAAAGTTACGGTTGAATCTCCTTACAAAAAATACTGCCCTTGTTTCCTCCAGGTATGTGAAGCTAATTTGAGAAGCGGAAAGGTGATTCTGAGCTCGGAGGTGTCAAAAGTCGGAGAATTAAACTGTCAGGTCACACGATACAGAAAAGCGTGACAGATTTTAATGTTAACTCTTTCTAATTAGCGGACAGACATCTTAATTTGCTAAATTTAAATTTAATTTCATTACTCGGGCATGTTGTAAATTCCATTGAATTGTGGAACAGAGCACTTTCTGTGAAACTTGTTGCCGTTTTTATTGGTAAATGTGCCCAGAAATTTTATATTTATTCATATTAACAGGGTCTTAGTTAATTTTTTGTTTCTAAAATTGGTACTATTATTGAAAAATATATACATTCTTGCTGTACTTCCCAGTAGAGACGACTTTTGGTAACATATGGGGCTAAGCCTTTGTGGCTATAATTGAGAAGTTGACTGTAAAAATTTGATGCATGATTCAAAACCTCAAAGACATTTTTAACATAACCAAATACCATTAGCACTCTAAGTGCTATGAAGTTATTTCTAAATTAAATTATTAAACATTTACCATTTAAGGCCTTTTCATGCTAAAAAAAGTCTGAGTTAAAATAGTATTATTGCTAAAAAGCATAGTTTATATATATATGTTCTAGTATATGTATGCATACATGAAGCATTCCAGGCTAATTTTAGGGAGCCCTAATAATTGGAAAGTGATCTGGTAATTGTTTTAAAATTTTAATCTAATCAATTAATTATTTGCAGACTTGCAATTATACATTAAGAGGCCATTTAACATGGGTATGTGTTTCCCCATCTTTTTTTTTTCCTTTTCCCATGTATTCTCCCGTTTTTACAACTATCTGCATGCGAAGAAAAAATACATGTGTACATGTGTTATAGATGACATTTTATGTCTTTATTAAGTCCAGTAAAAAATAAAAATGTCCCTTTTATGTAAAAAGTTAGTTTTTTTTTTATAAAGTTGTTAAGTTTATTTAATAGATATAATTATTAATTAAGACTTAACTGCAGGAATTTAGACTTGATTAAAAGAAAGGAAAAAAAATCATATTAATACATCTTAGAATTTTGTATGTCAAGTGTTACATAGAGCATAGTGTGATCTTACTGTACAATCAAGCTTATTAAGTTGTTTGAAATAGAAGACAGACTTAATCTAGAAGAGAGAGGGTATTTAGATAAAGAACTTATTCAAGTGTTCCAAATTCATCTACACCACTTAAAGAATGATGCCAGCTCCTCAAGGTCAATTCTGAAAACTGACTCTCTCTCTCTCAAGAGAGAGAGAGAGAGAGAAGGGGATGGAGAGAGAATATTCTCGAATTGATGCATGAATTTGTCAATAAAATTTTGAACAATGTTCAGTAACAGAGTTGGAGAAAAATATGTTCCCATTAACTGGAAAACACACAAAAATTATTGTTTTACAATTGGTGTTTTTAGGAGAAGACTGAATAATTTATCAGAAACACATGGGATAGTATGATAGTGTTAATGGAAAACCCATTCAGATTAATTCCATATAATAAAGGTCATATATACCTTATATAGTTATCAGGACCAATTCCTGAGACTTGATAATCAGACAGTCTTACGGAAGAACATGCTCTTTTATTACAAGGCTTATGTTAAACACTTCAACTTTATGTACATGGGACATTTAATTACCACACTGAGGTGTCATTTATAGGACAAATAGCTACATATATGTGACATAAGACATGGATTTCTTGTCTGGAGATTAGGTTATAAGTCTGAAAATTCACACCATATGTATATTCAAAAGTTTTCCCTCAAATATCCATGTGTTTAACATTATTTTTCGGGGGGTCTTGATCTTATGTACAGGCACAAATGCCAGTGACGTTATACGTAATATATGTATTTTTCTTATTAAAAAAAATATAACCCCACAGGCAAGCCTCATAATAGGTATATAGGTTGATTTTTTATTTTATCAGAAAAATATGTTTTGTGGATTGTCTGTGGTCCATACATAGGATTTATATATATAGGGTTTGTTGGATAACTATTAATTGAACAAACATATTTTATATAGGCCTTGAGCGTTGGTTAATGCCAGTCAAAAAAGGATGTAAATAAATTTTGAAAATTTCAATGGCATCTCAAGAAGGCAAAACTTTACTTATTATTATACAGTCTTTGAAGTTTATTTTTGCGTGAAAAGCACATACGGAGTACACATATATATTACATTATCATTGACAAGATTTTCTCAAGGTAATATTTTTAGATGACATTTAAGGAAGATTTTTACAATGGTTTGATCTTTAATGAAAATATTCATCTGTATGAAAGTAAATTAGGTGGATTATCTTTGATATGAAGTAAATGTATTTTATATAATGCACTCCATAAGGAATGGTAGCTAGAGAAAATTTCATAAATTCAATGTAGATTTCAAAGCAAATAGTAACTAATTAAATTTGACATTTTAGGTTATTTATTGGTAGGAATTATGCAGGTGTTGTAAGTCATTTATAACAAATAAAAAATACACCGATAGAAAATACCACTGTGTAGGTAGTTTATGTCATTCAAAATGGATGTTTTATATGTAATTTGAATGAATCTCTATTAATTAGCTCAAATTTCACACATAAATTTACAGCCCTAGCTGATACATTCCAAATTCATGTACATTATATATAATGATGTTGATTACAGATGCATGTATAAACATTGAAAAGTTAACCTTCCATTTGACTTGTAGCTATAAACTCGTGTATGAATTCCTAATGATGATACTATTTTTGCAAATGGCTGTTTTTACCATATTTGCATTAACTGCAGCAAATATTTATCAAACAGGCCTGGTTCAAACGTAGGTCTCGCTGACTGACTTTGTACGACTGCTCTCACCTCCTTGTATATATCCAAAACTTCAAAGAAAATGTCATTTTACGCAGTTCTTAATGATTGTAAATGTGATTGTTTGCCTCAGATTGAACACTTGTGCAGAAAGTGTTAAAAAAGTTAGGGTCATACTCCGTTCTTAAGTCAGGACTACATGGCTCCAAAATTTCATTCAATTTCCTCATACCAAAGGGCACATTCATAATCAATCTTACAAATACACTGAAATACTTTGTTGTATCAACTTTGTTTAAAAATGGATGTTGCATATTGAAGGCCTCAAATTACGTAAAATGAGTGATCATGGAGGAACATTTCCTTTTTCGATGATTTACAACTCATTTAATTCTTTTTTCTTCCACAGGTGAAGCTTGGGTGATGTCTCCCGCCGATCAAAAGAATGACATCGATTTCCTGATGCTGTTTGCACTGAGACGTTTGTTTAGGTAACGCAGCTATGTTAGCCGACTCTCCAATGTCCTAAATATAAACTACGAAAAAGACTCCCAAAGGCCACCAGGTATACCTATCTAAATGATTCCAAAGTTTAGTCGGGGTGTGATTCAAATAGGTGCATAGAGAACTGAAAGCCATGAAAATATGTCAAGGTTACTGAAGATTGGTTGGTCTATGTTCACATATTTATCATTCTAATTTTACAACAGTTGTTTCATAAAGGTATAATTTATCAATCTGCTCTCTGAGTCAAAACAAACATTCCAACTGCCTAGTGCACTTGGTTTAGCATTATAGCTAACATTTGGAAAAAGATATTCTTCGTAAAGTTATAATTCTATCAAGAATGCACACTTGGCTAACAGTAGGAGTGACTTGCTTTTTTAAAAAGGTGCCAACCACAGTTTAATTAATTTATAGTGACCCAATCTTCCATAATCTCCACTGGTCATATATCAGGAACAGGGAACAAATCTGCACTATATATTGGGAAGTAGCCAGTTGATATTAGCTGTCCAATACCTAAACATTGAAGGAGAATACCCCTGGTAGATAAAAATAAATAACCATAATCACAGAGTTTACCCAGTCTTTATATTGAGGAGGGTTATATATAGGTAATTGTGTCAGGTGAAAAAGAAAATTAGATAAAGAAATGTTAGTGTGGATGGACCAACTTGTATATATTGTTAAAGTCAGTTTTCTTTAAAATTTAACATGCTGAAAATGACTCTTGTAAGTGAATGATTTGACCAAGGAAATTTTGTTAATTTTGTAACAAAACATGCCAAATCAAACATATGAAAAGGTTTTTAATAGTAATCAAGTTAATGTAAATTAAGGGTTAGGATACATATATATTATGACATTTGTCAGTCTGTGCAATCTGAACTTGGTTTAATATAACAGTTACTTTGTAATTGAGAAACACAGGTGAGAAACACAGAAGCTCATTCTTAGTCCAGATAGTGCTTATAACCCAAAAGTTTGTCATGCCCTTGATCCAAGGTCATTCTGGCAAGGTCAAGGTCATTGACAGAAAAAATTATATAATTATTGTCTGACTCTATGATAGAGAACCACTGGAAGCTCTGCCTTGGTTCAATGATTGCCAATGACATTTGGGTTTGTTGTGAACTTGTGACCTTGTTGGCACTTAAAAAAATTGTTTCAGGGTATTACCTTGTGAGCTATTCCCAGTACAAATATTTTTTACTGTATTTTGATTTTGAATGTAAACTTGCTCTTCAGTTGAAAGTGTTTTTAATTGGATTCTGCTATGAAACTATGTTCTAATGATCAATTTAATTTCCTCAGGTTTTCAATTTCAGTGAAAAATCTTTCAAATAAAATAACTCTCTTCTTTCCTATTTGTTTCACAAACACATTTATTGATTTCTAGGAGGGGGTAAAATCACTTTCTTGAGTTTGTTGCCACTTTTGATACCCCCATCAATAATAAATACACAACAAGAAATATGGTAGGCGTTATGAGGCAGGCGGTGAAGTACGCTAATTCAGATTTATGACCTGGGGACCATGAGCGCAGCATAAGGATTCAGGAAACGCAGTAGAAAATAGCAGCTATCATCTGAATTTAAGAAAAGAGAATATATCTTTTATGCCATAGGACTGGGAATGGCCTGATCAATATGAATTTTTGCAGAGATTTATGCGGACGGCTAGACAAGGGGACACCAAGGTCACAGAGGAAAATTGGATATTGATCACCTTACAACAGAAAAATTATATTTGCGGTGTCATCAGTCTAACTTTGTCCACAGATGTTGATACTGTCTGAAAGTAGAAATGATAAGGATTGGATTGGGTTGGTAAAAGGGCACTGTACTGGCATCTTTGATATAGATAATGATGCCATTTAAAATCAATTCAATGTTCGTATTAATTTCTAAGGACATTAGCGTGAAGGGATCGAGATACTTTTGAATGTCAGTGGACATTTTTTTGTTATCACAATTAACACACACATTGTAATTCAGAAGGTCAATTTTAAAGGAAATCATAATGATATTATAGTTATATGCCATGTTTGAATTTCTGACCTTGACCTTTGATCATTTGACCTCAAAATCAATAGAGGTGTTCTTTAGGCCATAGGAAATTGTGGTATGAAATGACATCGCAAAATCTTTAAGGCTTCTTCAGATAGTGACTGGAAACAAAAGTGTAACACATAGACAAAGTTACAGACAGACAGATGGAAGGAGGGATAGGCAGACAGATATAGCTAGTGAAGGGGGGAGGTAAATATTGTCATTTTTGTGGAAGGTAGAGTCCTGGGAGAATACCCTGAGCTGGCAGATACTCCCTGTAATCTTGTCAAACATGACTCTTAGTCTGGTTAAATTAGGGAAAAGTAAAACTCAAATGTGGGAGGCTTTAGTAATATAAACTGATGAATTGTTTGAGAATTTAAGTTACTGGGTGCTAATTTTGTTGTGTCTTTGAGTTACTTTGTATTGAGTAGGGTAATCATTCAATCAGAAATTTAACTAAGCTAATTCTAATTCTATTCATTTACACTTTTTTGTCATTAAAGCTTTGCTGTACTAAGTATCTTTCAGCTAGCTTATTGTCAAAGCCTTCAGCAAATCTAAATCGACTTGCTGTTTTAATCTCTCAGAACCTCCCCACCCAAACTCCCTCTTTAACTCTGAATCCTTTAACCGATTAATGCAAAACTTAATCCTCAAGTTTATGGAAAAACCATGTTTGCTTTGATTTGGCCAGACTTATTTAGCAATTCTAGTCATCACCATGCTTCTAAAGCTAAACTCTGACGTTAAATGCATGTTAATGTGTTTCAATTAATTGCAGGTTTTACTCCCACCAGCTAACGGTCTCATCCTGAAGATAAGGGGACTTCTGTGATTGAACTCGTCTATTGATGGAATGTCAAAGTCTGTCAGAGACTGAGGCTGACGTCTTGTTGCCACGGTAATTATTGTGCCAATCCTGGTGGAATTTCAGGTAACATTTCTCACCTGTGCGCGTTACCTGGGCTAGGTATTTGGGTGGGAAGCTCAATCCAATCAGACTCTCGTGACAATAGATGTTCGATCGGCAAATTGATTGAGCAGTCCTTGCATCAAGTAGCATCATGTGGTTTAGAATTTTTGTTTTACTCTAAAAATGATTAACACATCTGGGAATTAGATGACATACTATGAACACTGATTCATCAGAAAATAAAATAAAGGTAGCGCAATATTGTATTCTGGTAGGTGTTAACCCATGGGAAAAGTTGTGCAGAGTAGGAATTTAAAAGATGGGAGAAAAAATCTTTTGAATCAATGTAGTGGGGAAGAGAAGGATTGGTGGCAGAGGAAATTATACGGTTGAATAAGTTGATTAAAAAAGAAGGCAGGGCAGAGTGTTTGATTAAATTAGCCCATTGACATTAAAGTTAATCTGCAGGTGGGATGCAAGAAAATATTTGCTAAAATCAAGTATTACCAGGGTATATGAGAGAAAATAGAGCATTGGAGTATGACATACTCTCTAAAATGATTGATTTTTTTATTACCAGTTAAAACTGAAATTAGTGTAGTAATTTGACATTTATCAAAATAGTTATACACCAAAATATTGGTTTTTACTACTCTGAAAAAAAGCAATAGTTTAATTTTTTCTCCCAGTAAATCTATTACATGTACATGTATTGATATGTTTTGTGAAACTAAGCAGTTTCATGGTTAGATCTGCGTATATCATTTTCGCAAACCACGGCCAAAATGTACAATCCTCTTTCATTCGGGCCGTGGTTGAATGAGAAGAGAATATTTCGTAGCTCATTAAAATATTGACCAATGCGATTAAAGCATAGTCAGAAAATGAACTTTGATGCGATCTTTCATACCCAATCACAGTATAAAAAAATTTTCGTTAACTGATGATGTCAGTTGTTGATTTTGACTGGGATGGAAACAAATACAGTAAGACCCGGTTAAAACGAAGTGACTGGGACCAGTGAAATTACTTCACTATATCCTTGAATTATTATATCCGTATAAAGAATTTGTTAAATTTATATATATGGTTATTATAAACATTATGACATGGAAGTAAAATATAGTCTTCAGTTAAACGTTCACATTTTTTGTGTTCATTGAGCTTGTTGAGGAAATTGGTTGTGATGATAGAACTTGTCCTTTAACAAAATTTCAAAATCACTAATTTACGAAGTACAAAAAAAAAATAATAATAAAGTATTATTTTATTGTATAAAATATATTATTATGCAACAGATGAAGGGAATGTGTGACACGTACAAGGATTTAAACTTTTTACTCCTGTAATTCTTGTCGACATACTACTCACTGGGAACTATAATAAGGATTAAAAGTCAATATGGAATAATGGCAAACCTGCCACTCCTCCACCTCCCTTCGCACCACATAAATCTCATCACACTGAATACACCAACCCAAAGCTCATCTTTCTCACAAGTTGGAGGCAAAAAACCCCCTAAAAAATAGAACAGAAGCATATTTATATAAGACTTTAATGCCTAACCTGGTATCCTGAGGTGATAATTGGTCCAGAAGACCTGATAATTCAGATAGACAGCAGAGCTGCTTATGCAAGAAATATCAGGTTCCACCAGGTCACAGCTATGCTCTCTCTATTATCCTTATCAAAAGTTCAGAAAAATAGATACTTTTGTCTTTTCCTCTACGTAAGCAATATATCCATACATCAGGCTTAAAAACCTGATACGTATGTATAGTTATTAAATATATATGGTATTTATACAATCGTACATAATTTGTTTTTATTACCTTTGCCACCTCTGACTTCTATTTTTCTTCCTAAGCATTCATAGATACATGATTTTTATAGCTATACTTTCTGAGGTCTAGATGACCAATTATAAACAAAACAAGATTTTTTTTAAAACACTGATATCCTGTTAAGGCAGGTCAAGGCCAAATTTTAAGTTTGTAATATATAGGTCCAAGGTCAAGAGTTTAAAAAATGTTACCTAAAGAAATAATTTGCCACAAGGAATATACATGTGAAGTATTATAGCCCTGGTATCAACCATTAAGAAAATTTGACCTAGGTAAATTTTTTCAATAAGTAGGTCATACTCCAAGGTCATTAAAAATTAATTGATAATTGGGATTACAAAAGGAAAGGTTTTGTCACAAGGATATGAAAATTGGTAGAAGCAACTACTCTTAAGGTATTTGGCAAAAAAGGTCTTTGCACAAGGAATACACTTGTGAAGTATTTGAAAATCCTAGCACCCACCATCTAAAAGTTATGGCGAAGGTTAAGTTTTTCAAAATTAGGTCATAGTCTATGAGGTCAAATATGTTGGAACTCAAAGAATTCGAAGGGTTTCATGTAACAAAGAAAACATTTTGAAAGATGAAAGTCTTTGCACCCACCATACAGGGCTCTACATTAACTTTTTTCCCTACTTGTCCATTCGGACAAGTGACCAAGATATTTACTTGTCCGAACTTCTACTTCACTTGTCCGAAAAAAAATTCATTGAATGTCTTATTCTGTCAACTTGAAAACTATTACATAAATGAAAAAAAAAATAAACGTGCTTGATTTATTAGTCTTGTTATTGATAAAAAAGACAAACACATATAAAACAAAATTTTATCTACACAACCTGACCTGACATCAACATAAATGTTTGCAAGTGAATCTGTAATTCAATCAGATTTATTGCAACTTACATAGCGATTGATATCGGGATCGAATTTTGGGTTTATGTACTGCTTCCGTTTGTATTCGATAAACTTATCAATTAAATCAATAGTTGTTTTTTTATTATTATTCAAAGACTTCTTTAATGTGACAAGTGCCCAGTCACTTGTCCGTAAATTTGAGCCCTGCCATACAAAAATTATGGCCAAGGTTAAAGTTTTTCAAATGTAGGTCAAACTCGATTTCAATGTGACAAGGTAAAATTTTGCTACTGAAAGAAAGGTCTTGACACTTGAAACTCATCTATGAAATTTAAAATCCCTTATAATATAAGTGCCAACTATTCAAAAGATATGACCAAGATTAAAATCTGGTTATTTTTTTACCAATTATAGATAAATCAAACTACAAGACTAATGGTCAAATTTATGGTTATACCCAAGGAAAGGTTGTGTCACAGTTATAATTATGACCAGAAATATGAAAGCTGTAGCTTCAACCTTTCAAAAGTTAAGGGCAAAGTTATAGGTATCGTTCATTATAATACTTCTATGCCATCTTGCATGTTAGCTTTTCCTCTAACTGTATCATATTTTGTATTTTCAGTAAATTTTATATTAATAACTTGTTGTATTTGGCATTTAGCAGCTTTTCTGCCCTGTCTTGTTTTGCATTAATTTCCTCCGTGAAAAGTTCATGAAGGTATACGAACTTAAGACTTTTCACTTAGGCTTAATTATTTCATGAAGCACATTGGATATTTCTCTTTTTAATTTATTAGCTAACATAAGCGCACATATTTTTTGTGAAAAATAAGCCTAGGTTTTGAAATGTTTCTAGGTAACTAGAGAGTTTTTGTCAATTGTTAAGGTGAGTGTTGATGTCATGGAAAAAAACACTGATATCCATGGTTATTAGTGGTAGTTGCTAGAGAATAAACCTTTGATTGTTACAAAGCAATCTGCATTAAAGGGAAAAGTAATACAAATGTAAATATTGTAGTTGCAATGTCTATTAATTTAAAGTTTCCCTTTTATGATTTTTTTTTTCTATACATCATTTTTAGCTCTACTGGTCAGAGACCAGAAGAGCTTATGCGATAGTAATGCGTCCGGCGTCCGGCCCTCTGTCTGTCTGTCTGTCTGTCCGTCTGTCTGTAAACAATTTTTCAAAACGCTACTCCTCCTACAGTTTTAGTCTGATTTCAATATAACTTGGCACACAAGTAGACTACACTAAGATACATAAAATAGTGCATCGGTTTTTGATTTCGATGAACGGTGTTGCCATGGTTACTAAAAATAGAATTTTCTGAGAAATTCCTTTAAAACGCTACTCCTTCTACAGTTTTGGTCTGATTTCAATATTACTTGGCACACAAGTAGACTACACTAAGATACATAAAATAGTGCATCGGTTTTTGATTTCGATGAACGGTGATGCCATGGTTTCTAAAAATAGAATTTTCTGAGAAATTCTTTAAAAACGCTACTCCTTCTACAGTTTTGCTCTGATTTCAGTATTACTTGGCACACAAGTAGACTACACTAAGATACATAAAATAGTGCATCGGTTTTTGATTTCGTTGAACGATGTTGCCATGGTTACTAAGAATAGAATTTTCTGTGAAATTCCTTTAAAACGTTACTCCTTCTACAGTTTTAGTCTCATTTCAATATCACTTGGCACTCAAGTAGACTACACTAAGATGCATAAAATAGTGCATCGGTTTTTGATTTCGATGAACGATGTTGCCATGGTTACTAAAAATAGAATTTTCTGTGAAATTCCTTTAAAACACTACTCCTTCTACAGTTTTAGTCTCATTTCAATATCACTTGGCACACAAGTAGACTACACTTAGATGCATAAAATAGTGCATCGGTTTTTGATTTCGATGAACAATGTTGCCATGGTTACTAAAAATAGAATTTTCTGTGAAATTCCTTTAAAACACTACTCCTTCTACAGTTTTAGTCTCATTTCAATATCACTTGGCACACAAGTAGACTACACTTAGATGCATAAAATAGTGCATCGGTTTTTGATTTCGATGAGCGGTGTTGCAATGGTTACTAAAAATAGAATTTTCTGAGAAATTCCTTTAAAACGCTACTCCTTCTACAGTTTTGGTCTGATTTCAATTTTACTTGGCACACAAGTAGACTACACTAAGATACATAAAATAGTGCATCGGTTTTTGATTTCAATGAACGGTGTTGCCATAGTTACTAAAAATAGAATTTTCTGAGAAATTCCTTTAAAACGCTACTCCTTCTACAGTTTTAGTCTCATTTCAA